TTATGTCTATTGCCTCACTTTAGAGTTCTCTATCAAGTTTTCAAAGTTTTCGTCAAGCTTTGAATTTTTCGGGATTTTTTTCTTTTTCTCCTCTGGTGCGCCCGCCTTTTCGGGGACAGGGGTAGGACCTCTGCCCTATCGATTTTTCCTCAGTGGCTTTCTTACCAGCTTACCGATTCTATGCTATTTTTGTCTCGTTATATTATATGGCGCTGTTCGGCTCGGGGGGGGGGTAGGTTGCACTTATTCTTCAGTTTCTCTCACTAGTTCATGACAACTTACATGTACCACCTTGGGTAGGACCTGTAGACTCTCGTCAGAATGAGCGAAGCTCGGACAATTGCACAGCTTTACAGGAATTTCCAGCCAGCTCTTCACAGGAAGCATCAGCAGTGAGCTATGAGAATTAGCAAGATGCCCCCACCAAGTCGAACTGCGCCCATTGTTTAACCAAACTGTTATTTCATTGTTTTGCTCCAATCGCTCAACTAGGGGGGTCCTATTTGGGTCGTTTTTCATGCCTTCGTTCCTCTTTTTTCATGAATTTGGTAATATGCAAGTTCTGCTGTCCTTGCCATTTCTTCACAGAGTTTGTCGCAAAACGTTTTTTCAAGGTCTTAATTGGACCAGACACTCTAATCTCCACTCCGTCAGCCCTTTTCATTTTGGTTTTCAGTGATTTTTTTGAAATTTCCATTTTGCAGTTGAAAAAATTTTTGCTTTACTATTTTATGGTTTTTTTATTGCCTTATGCATGTAAAGGTCAACCGGCACATTATGTTGTACGACTTACTACTTACTGCTTACTTATTACTACTTTTACCTAAATTTGCGCATAAATCACTTTACTGTGAGGGGAGTGGTGTAGTGGCAAGTGGCAATCTTATCAAGTGGGCTGTCCAAGATCCCAGATTAAGTCAATCAAGCCGTCTATCCTCCGGGGGCGGTAAATAGGTACCAGAATCCTCTTTGAGGATAAGAAAAGTGACTTGTACATCCTTTGAGCCAAACAAACCATTGTATAGATCATATCGCATTCAAAGAGCCACTGCGATTCTGAATGGAAGTAGAATGCGTGCCGCATCCCAAAAAGGGATTGATTAACGGCATTGCTTTTATTGGAGGCTTCTCCAACTTCTTTTTTCATTCCGTAGAATCACTTCTGCATCCATAATCATTTATTATATATATTTTATTATATTATTTTGTTCCTATTCTTTTCTTACTTTATTGTTTCATTTCATTTTGTTGAATCTCACGGTACTTTGGCCTTTGGCGGTTGGCACGACGCATTGCAGGAATTCGGTTGTCTTTAGAATTTCGGCTCGATAAGTCGCTGAGTGACGTCCCTTACTGGGCTTTGCAGGAGCAATCAAAGTCTAAATTTTCGCATAAAAAACAATTGTATTTCAGTGAAATAAAAAGGACTTGTTAGGGAGACGTAGTATTTTGAATGCCTTCCAAAGGAACCCTTGCTGATATATTCTCTTCTGCTATCTCTTGATATAAGTTTTTTGAAAAAATATTGTTTTATGCTCATTAATATTGTAGGCAAAATCGATTTTAAGGTGCTTTTAGGTTGGCAGTGCAAAAAAATGGCTGCGATAACGTATACCAGTAGAGCTTTAAAAGCATGGGGTTAGTAGACACTGGGGTAGGATGATGACTCACGTTTTGGTCCATGCCCCCCCCCATGTCTCTTATGAGAAGGGTTGTAATCATCTCATGGATGCAGATGGGACTCTACGGCACGTTTCGTGCCTATACATTTTGAGTATGTTATACGTACACTGCGATAAATTTCACTGTATTATTTGTGAATGTATGCGAATTATCGAGAATTCAGGGCACATCGTTGTTGGGGAATCCCCAATAGGGGGGGGGGCATATTTGGGTTTATTTGGTCGCCAGGAGAGGGGGAGCTCGTATTTGGGCTGGGAAAAATTTATTTTGATAGTTGATTTCTCGCTTCACGGACGTTGTAAAGGGGGGGGGGTCGTATTTACGTTTTGGCGTTGTAGGAGCGGTGGTTGACTTTTGTGATTTTCCTGTTTCATGCGTACTATTACCCCCCCCCTCCCCCTAAAATCCCTAACCAGTGGTGTGCCCTGCGAGAATTACAATTTTCTTATCCTGGAGCTGGAAACTTGGGGGGGGGGGTCATTCAAAGGTTTCCCTTTGCGAAACTCTGATCACCGTCATCGCAGCGGAATTACCGTACTTTAAATTGTTTCACTCACCTAGGAGCTCCTTATTACACTCAGAGATGGAGCGTCCGTGACTGCGTACCTTTATTTTGTCATGCTGCGCTTCTAAAGAGATATTGCGTTCCGGAACAGTTGCAACCATAAAATTGCCCAGTACAAGAGAGAGCAACACTTTGTCAAATGGAAATATCCCACGAGCAACGCAACCGAGGTCCTATTGAAGTAAGTACGCAGCCACGCCCACTCTTCGCTGGGATATGCAGTGTCCCTTTGTGCCAAGATAAAAGTGATTATCTCCATGAGAGTAACTCTAGTTCTACACCTTCGACAGGCCCTACTTAAGGCCAACCCAAAGGGTGAACCAGAGGCAATGAATCATTTTTTTTCTCATCTTCTCTTATTTTCTCTATGCAGTAGTGTTTGTTCCTTTATGCTTTTTATTTCCTCTTATTTACTTTCATTTGCGTCATAGTCCCGGCTGCTCCAGAAGTACTGTCTTATTCCTTCGGACTTTTTCTCTGTCATTTGTCCATTCCAAAGCTTTCTCCACCCACTCATGAGCATTTTCTTAGGCCTTTTATTGCTCTTCTCCCATCGCAAGCCATTAGTCCATCAGAGCAGAGAAGAATGACGGCAGTCTACTACTCACACCCCAGACGGGGAAATGGGAATTAGGGGTTTCAACTGTCCATTTCTGCATTTAACTTTTACATGTTTAGTTGTCGGGCGATTGGACTCAGGTTGAAGTGATTCGGCTCTCCACCGAAGGCGGAGGCCTCGGCTTCGGCATCGTCGGTGGTGCAAGTACCGGTGTCGTTGTGAAGACCATTTTACCGGGAAGCCCGGCAGATAAGGTAAGTGGGAACAAACAATTAGTTAGTTATTAGTTTATTAACTTCTATTTTTCATTTTACATTTTTTCTGATTTTTTTCTTTTGCTTTAAAGCTTTCTCGCACAGCAAATTTTTATAAAAGAAAAAGCGTTGAAATAGTGCAAAAGCCTTGTTGCGTATTTTCGAATGTCTCTTCAAAATCACTTTCTCAGAGGAGATTTCAATGCAGTTTGGCTCGGAGAGGGGGGGGGGGGGGGAAAGGCGAGGGGGGAGTGTTATTACCATCGACGGTATTGAGCCGTCATATGGAGACCCGCGAAGTAAATCTTGTGAAGCCGTAAAGTGATACCAGTCATATTTAGTAGGAACTACTTGTCAACCCTTGTAAAGAATACCTGTCAACGCTTGTCAAGCATGAAAACGTCGATGGGTAGTAGCGAAAGAGCGACATGCCCCCCTTGAACCAAACTCCGCAGAGATTTTTTCTTTGGATTCCTTCTTGTTTGTTCTCGTCTTTATCGATTAATATAATCATGTATTCAGTACTATCATTATTATTGTCAAGTCACTGCTATATTATTATTATTATTATTATTATTATTATATTATTATTATTATTATTATTATTATTATTATTTATTATTATTATTATTATTATTATTATTATTATTATTATTATTATTATTATTATTATTATTATTATTATTTATTATTATTATTATTATTATTATTATTATTATTATTATTTATTATTATTATTATTATTATTATTATTATTATTATTATTATTATTATTATTATTATTATTATTATTATTATAATGTCACCTACCAAGGGTAACTCAGTCATGGTAAGTCTTGGCGTAGGAGCGAATTTCTGCGAAAAACAACCCACCCGAACTCTCCCTCCGGCGCGACCCCCGCATCCCTTGCACCCTGTCAGACTCCTCGCACGACCTACCAAGCTTTCCCTAAATTTCGGTGTCAGGTGGAGGGGGGGGGGTGGAGAACAAGGTAGAGGAGTAGAGTAGATGTAACGCCCATAAAACAGTAACAACCAATAATCAAAGACATTTTCCTCAGGGGCAAATAGTACACTCTTTCGCTCCAGCGACCAAATGTGACTCATCCCCCCCCTGGGAGACGGGCAAGAGAATCGTAAATTGCCGCTTCGTCGCGCGCGGCAATGGGCGCGACGTTTCCTTAATTTGCACTACCCTTTCGATTGGAGCATCGGATTTCATGTAGACAAGGACATGATAGACACTTATGTCTACTTTTGGTCATACATTTGTCTATTCTCGACCAATACCACCTAAAATCGTCGTCATTAGCAGGCGCGACGTCGCACGCGACGCCCACTGGCGCGGCGAATTACGATTCTCTTGCCACATACCCCACCCGGAGCAAGCTTGGTAGAAGCTCTGTTGAAATACTAAAAAAACTAAAAGTAAAAAAAAAACTTGTTACCCATTTTACTGTAAGTAGTGAGTGGTTGGCTTCGAACCCGCCATGGACGGGTTAAGTCAATGCAGAAGGGATGGGTTTACACTCAAAGAATTCGTTTTTTCTCCGCTTCAGTCGGTGGCGCGGCAATGCCTTTATTTCTTGTGACTGTTGATCAGAGGAGCCCTTTCCCATTCCCTCGTCATTTTGGAGGCGAGGATTCCCTTTCTGGGAGATCCCTATCGTGATCGGCGCCATCGCTAGGTCATCTATGCTGGTTATCAACCAGGGACGTATAATACGACCGCTTTTCTACGTTACGGGGCTGTAATAAGGGGGTGTTATGGGCGGTGCTCGCAACGCTTCTTGCCTCTGTTCAGAAGTTTTTTTAGAAAGGGACCAGAATTCAAAAGTTATTTCTTCTTCCGATTTCTACCCGTAACCCTGAGATCGTTTCGGCCTTCCTCTTTAGAACTTGACTCCCGATTTCCGAAATTTTCGATTTACGGTTTTCTCACGCATTTCTTTTCGTATTTACGGTTTTCTCACGCGCATTTCCTTTGGAATACTAAAGTGCTTGTGGACCCGAACGTTTCGTCAGTTGAGATTTTGGCACCTCTCAATCTTCATGATGTTGGCTAATTGGCAACGTTGCCATTGCGAGTGCTCCGCCAGGCTAATCAGTAATGACCATGAGGCCGTCGAAGTTGAAGTTAAGATTTGTTGCCCCTATTGCTTTCCCAGTCGCAACGGGGGGTTCATTTGAGAGCATATGCATGATATGTGTGCCTATAGCAGATAATTACTTGATCATATCAAATTACCATGTAAATATCCCTTCTTATGCCTCAACAATCACAGTCTCCCCATTTTGAGGGGCTGGGAGATCAATAGTGGTGACTTCTGCGAGTGGCTTCATTACTTTTTGGTAACAAATCCAGAAGCAAGCAGTATTCGGCCAAAGGGGCATTTCGCACTTTTCCTGTTTCCTTTTGCTAATTCACGTCAATTAACGAGCTGCACTTTGGGGGACCTGTAAACTTCTGCGAGGCTGTGAAATGGTAAGATTGAGCCACTTGATTATAGGAACTCCCGGGTCTTCACAAGCTGGCTTAAACTGGCTTCGTTAAGCTGCTGCCCCCACCAAGCCAAACTACGCGTTTTTTATTAGTGCGCATTTGAAATTCTTCAAACCGGACACAGGCCCCTACGGAAATCTTCTCGAAGTTATACAAGTTATACATTGCCCCTCCTATAAATCTAAGTTTTACACAGGATATTTTTGCTGTAGCGTACTGTAATCAAAATGGCCACGAACAAGAGGTGCCAGACAGGACAGACAGATTTTAAAGAGTAGAAGATACTGATAGGAAAGACAAAAAAGTAGGACCCGCAGGCAGGAGGCTCAAAATGAGAGTCTTTCAGGTCATTTTCTGAAGAGCGCTGAGAAAAGCACCTCATTTATTTAGTCGATGTGTGTTCCGCTGTGAGTCTACACTTGGGAAAAGGTGCTCAACGACCTGAACCATTCCCCCTCTCTTTCCCCCTTTCCTCTGCCTTTAGGGCAGAAAGGCAGCATGTAGAGACATAGAAAACACTGGGTAAGTAGTGTAGCCAGACAAAGCTGACGGTACAGGCAGGGGGTAGCCTAGGATAGCCGAACAAAACGGACAGAAAAGGTAGCACATTAGGTATACAGAGGGGTGCAGAGAGGGAGTTAGACGGGACAGACGAAATATGGCGAGCAGGACTCGCAGGCCAACAAGGAGATACGGAGTATGGCGTACAGTAGCGTACAGTGGCGTATG